GGACTCAATACCAAGTATCAGCCATTTTACCTTGAAAGAGTAACATTTGACATGAGCTATTAAAAACAGGCCCAGAGGCCTCTCATCAATTGTATTACAAAAAGGAAAATCAAGTATTGGAGAGAATTCTGAAGCCCAGGCCAAGGATCTAGTGAACATCACCCTGAATTTAAGGCTTGAGAAAACATAAATTCTGAGATTTGAGATAAAGTTCATTGGCCCACTATCTAGAATGCAATCCTTTAGAATAGTGACTGTCATTTTGGAATGCGTGCTTAGAGGTTGAGTCCTTAGGAGTTTGAACCAAAATCCTAAGCTGTTCTGATGGTTGAAAAGAAATTGTGACAGCAGCTCTAAATCCCAGCAAGGATCTGCTTCCAAAGAAACAGCCATTTAGACTGTAAAAAAAGTAAAATGGAAAGCGACCTCGGAGGCCTAAATTTGTTTGGGTGAGGTCCAGGCCCTGGCCTCACACTCAATCTCCTGACATTTTGCCTCAAAAGAATGAAATCTGGGACAGGGTTTTGAGGACAATGGAAAGGGCCTAGGATCTAAATCCAACACATGAGTATAGAAAATATAATAAATTCCTGACTGCTCTCAACGACTGAGAGAAAATTGTGATAGAATTACTGAAGCCCAGGAAAAAGACAGGAAACCCTGACCCAGAGATTTACTTTCTAAAGATAAAAATTTGAACAGGAACCAAAATCTAACATCATCTCCCTCACCATAAGCCCAGCCAAGAATCTAGTAAAAATGACACCTAATTTAAGGCTTGAGAAAACATAAATTCTGAAATAAAGTTCACTGGCCTACTACGTTGAACCCAGTCCTTTAGAATAGTGACTATAATTTTGGAATGCAATCGTGGAGGCCCTGGGAGGTTGAACGAAAATTCCATGCTGTTCAGATGGTTGAAAGAAATTGTGATAGCAGCTCTGAATCCCAGCAAGGATCTACTTCCAAAGAACCAGCCATTTAACTGTAAAAAAATAACATGTTGATTCTGAGCTCGGAGGCCTAGGCAGAGTGTCTTCTCGCCAACACAAAACACCTTAGAATATAGCAAATAAATTTGTTTGGGTGGGCTGAGGCCAAGGTCGAGGCCCATTTCCTAACATTTTGCCTCAAAATAATAAAATCTGGGAGACGGTTCTGAGGAAAAAGGAAAGGGCCTAGGAAGTAAAACCAACAAATAAGTATAGAAAGTATAATAAATTCCTGACTGCTCTCCACTACTGAGATGAAATTTTACTAGAATTTCTGAAGCCCAGGAAAAGGACAGGCACACTTGAACCAGACACTTACTTTCTAAAAAGAAAAAATATGAACAGGAACCAAAACCAAAACATTAAATACTCTTTCACTGTAAAGGAATTGACCTAGAATTACATTTTATCAGACAGAAATCTAAAGGATTAAAATGGATGTCCAATAAAAAAACATTCGTACAATAATTAAATCGTCGGTGTAAACGTTCAAAAACACTGAAAAGGCATATCCAGCACTCCAGAAGGGCTGAAACGCTTTAGAAAGGCTAGCACCGCTGTGCAGTGTTCTCATTACGTGAAGACATTACCTTGAATAAAAACATATATTTCTGACATAAAATAAACTTTCTACATAACAAAACTGAACTATAATAAAATTTTCATGAGAAGGAACGTGATAGCTTCATCTTGGGTGACTTAAACTGTATAATACTGAAATCTTTGGTGGCCTCTAAGTGACCCTGAAAAGGCGTTTCCAGCACTCCCGAGGCGCTCAAACGCTTTAGACAGGCTGGAAACGCTATGCAGTATTCTCTTAACGTGACGACATCACGATGTTTATAAAAAGACATTTCTGTCATAAAATACCATTTATCTCCAAAGACCCTGACCTAAAATCACGTATTTATGAGACAGAATATTAAAGCATTAATTTGGGCGACGTAAGCTGGACAATAATGAATTAGTCGTCCTGTGCGCTCATATGCTCTGAAAAGGCGTTTCCAGCACTCCAGAAGCGCTGAAACGCTTTAGAAAGGTTAGAACATCTGTGCACTGTTCTCTAAAGATGAAGACATTACATTGATTAAAAAGGCTTTTCTGCCATTAAACAACCTTTCAACGGAGAGGAACTGACCAAAAATCACATTTCCTGAGCCTGAATTCAGGGTGACCAAACCTGTATATATACTCTGAAAAAGGCGTTTCCAGCACTCCAGAAGCGCTCAAAGGCTTAAGAACGGCTAGAAACGCTATGCAGTATTGTCTGAACCTGAACATACAATAAAAGGCTTTTCTGCCGTCAAACAACATGTCTCGATTAAGGAACTGACCTAAAATCACAATTTATGAGACAGAACCCTAAAGCATTTACTTGGGTGACCAAATCTGTACAATGATGAAATCTTCGTTGAATACGCTCATATACTCTGAAAAGGCGTTTCCAGCACTCCTGCAGCGCTCAAACGCTTCAGAAAGGCTAGAACAGCTCTGCAATATTCTCTTAACATGAATGCTTGTCTGCCATTCAATACCCATTCACTGTAAAGGAACTGACCTAAAATCACATTTTTTGATACTGAACTCTGAAAAGGCGTTTCCAGCTCTCCAGAAGCGCTGAAATGCTTTAAACAGGCTAGAAACGCTATGCGCTATTCTCTGCACCTGAACATACAATAAAAAGACTTTTCTTCCATTAAATACCCGTTCACTGTAAAGGAACTGATCAAAAATCACATTTTATGAGATTGAATTCTAAAGCTTTAACATGGGTGACCAAATCTATAGAATAATGAAATCGTCGTTGTATACGCTCAGAT